GATAAATTAAAGTCTTTATTTTCCAGAGCACCTGTTCTTATGCAACCTGACCCAGCCAAGCAGTTTATTCTAGAGGTGGATGCTTCAGATTCTGGTGTTGGAGCAGTCCTATCCCAGAGACTGGATTCAGATCAAAAAATACACCCTTGTGCTTTCTTCTCCCGTAGACTTTCTTCTGCTGAGCAAAATTACGATGTGGGTGACCGAGAGCTTCTGGCCATTAAACTGGCGTTGGAGGAATGGAGACATTGGCTGGAGGGAGCTGAGCATCCGGTTCTTGTATGGACTGACCACAAGAACCTGGCTTACATCCAGTCAACCAAGCAAGCTAATCCCTGCCAATCCAGGTGGTCAATTTTCTTCTCTCGGTTCAATCTCATCATCTCCTACAGACCCGGATCCAAGAATGTCAAACCCGACTCTCTCTCTCGTCTACTCCGTCGATCATCCCGAGACACCTGAACCGGTTCTTCCGGCTTCCTGCACAGTGGGAGTGGTCAACTGGGAGATAACTGACCTCATCAACTCAGCCCTGGCCACTGAACCCGATCCAGGTAACGGTCCCACTAACCGAACCTATGTTCCATCTTCCGTCAGGTCCCGTCTCATCGGGATGCACTCCGCCAAATTCTCAGCTCATCCAGGAGTCAGTAGAACTGTAGCTCTCATCTCTAGACGCTTCTGGTGGCCCACTCTCCACAGGGACGTTAAGGAGTATGTGTTGGCTTGCCCCACATGTGCCCGTAACAAAGCCTCACACCAACCTCCTTCTGGCCTGCTTCAGCCGCTCCGTGTTCCCTCGCGTCCTTGGTCCCATATCGCCATTGATTTCGTCACCGGTCTCCCCGTCTCTCGAGGTATGTCCACCATATTCACCATTGTTGACCGTTTCTCGAAGTCCTGCCATCTTATTCCCCTCAGAAAACTTCCCACGGCCTTCCAGACAGCCCAGCTTCTCATCAAGCATGTTTTCCGGTTACACTGCATTCCCAAAGAGATCCTCTCGGACAGAGGTCCTCAGTTCATTTCCGAGGTCTGGAAGGCTTTCTGTTCTGCTCTCGGCTGCAAACCCTCTCTCACCTCTGGTTACCACCCCCAATCGAATGGTCAGACTGAGAGAATGAATCAACTGTTGGAATCAACCCTTCGCTGCCTCACTTCAAACAACCCCGTGGACTGGAGCCAATTTCTCCCGTGGATAGAATACGCACATAACTCCCTCAGATCTGCATCCACTGGACAATTCCCGTTTCAGGTTAGTCTCGGCTATCAACCACCTCTTTTCCCCGCAGACGAGAGAGAGATTTTTGTCCAGTCCGTAAATCAACATATCCGCCGTTGTCAAAGAATCTGGAGGGAAACCATCGCCACCCTCAATCAGTCATCTGAGTCCATAAAACGCTTCGCCGACGCCAGGAGACGTCCCGCCCCCGAGTACACTGAGGGCCAGGAGGTATGGCTGTCCACTCGAGACATTCCCCTCAAGGGGATGTCTCGAAAGCTCTCTCCTAGGTTCATCGGACCCTACAAAATCACTCGAGTCATCAACCCCTCAGCCGTCCGTCTCCAATTACCTCAGTCACTCCGGATCCACCCTACCTTCCACGTGTCCCAGATCAAGCCTGTCTCCTCGAGCCCTCTGTGCCCACCGTCCGACTCCCCACCACCCGCCCTGGAGGTCGATGGTCATCCAGCATTCACAGTTCGACGCATCGTGGACTCCCGTCGACGAGGTCGCGGATGGCAGTACCTCGTCGACTGGGAGGGCTACGGACCGGAGGATCGCCAGTGGGTTCCGGGCTCGTACATCCTCGATCCTGCCCTTATCGAGGAGTACGAGCGTTCCTGCCCATCAACCTCTTCCGGACCGCCAAGGGGCGGTCGTTGAGGGGGGGGTACTGTTGGGAGCTGGAGAAATTCCACCTTTCTCCAGCAGAGTCCGCCGTGGATCCTCTGAGGGAGCCTCCTGCACAGCTGCAGCTCGTCAAGATCATCAGAGGATCCACTACTTAAGCTGTCTTCAGACCTTGCCTCAACGCCGCAGTGTTGTTCCAGTTGGTCAGCGCTTAAGCCTAGATCCTCTGAGTAACTCGATGACTTTTGAATCCAGCTTGGATTCTAATCCTTGTCTCTGTTTTCCAGGAAACCTGTGCCACCTCTGTGAAAGCTCAGGAAGAGCTAACCTGCCGAGCCGACCCTCAGAGCCAAACCCGAAGAATCACAGAGAACCTCCAAGCAGCTCTGGACTAGAGCTGGGAAACCCTAAACCAAGGTCTGTTCATATTAGACGTGAGACGCTGAAGCAGCAAACGGACTCTGCTGATGAACTCTTCTCCAGATCCAACAGAGACTCTCCCAAAGCTAACCTCAAGAACCCTCAAGGTACAATCAGTAAACTTCAGGAAATCAAACCTCTGTTGGCAACGCTAACTGAACTGTCTCTCACGCAGACTCCAGTGAACCAGTATCCAGGCCCCGAACCTGGCCCAGTATATTCTGTGAGCTTGTACTTCAATAAACTGTTAAACTTTCATCCCTGTGTCCGTCAGTGGTGTTCTGCATTCTTGGGTCGCTTTTAGTGAACCCATCATGACACTGGGAAGCCAGGTAACTGGTGGGAAGCCATAAGAATGCTCAGTTCTGCTGAATGGCAGCCTTCTGTGGCATGCAAGGCCTCAGAGTCAATCTGTTCCCCCCTGTGATGAACTGAAATTTCGATTACAATGTAAATTGTTGTTGACAATAAAGACGTTTTGATTGATTGATTTGATTGATAGTCATTCTGAAAAGTAAAAAAAAAACAAACCAAATGCAAATTTTTCATGTTTTCTAAGACAAAACAAGGCTTTGTTTCAGTGTATTCTCATTATGAGTTCGTATGAAATGGTACGAAAAGTTATGCACCATAATTTGTACGTTTCGTTTTTTTCGTCATATGCGCATGCACATCTTACGCACCATTCAAGAACATAGAATATAAATTACAATTAGCCCTAAAACTGACCCTAACCCTAATTTATAAAACAGCAAGCAACGTAGTTAAAGACATGAATAAGTAATTATTGCAGTGTTTTTCCCAGTTTTACATCCGTCCGCGAACCTGCTTTTTTTTTCTGTCTGCCAGCGCATGCGCACTGATCTGGTTTTTTGAGGAAAAACGTCAAAAACGTACGAAATAGTGTTTATAACTTTTTGTACGATTTCATACGAACTGATAATGTGAATATGTTGTTTGTTTTGGTCCACTCTATAAAGCCTCAAGCCCAATGCTAATTCTTGTCACGTTTCGGTTGTGTTGGTTAGAGGACCCAAATGCAGAGACGAGTTGGTTGAGATGAATTTAAGTGATTTAATAGGTTTTCAGGTTCTGAGGCAGGAGTCAAAAATCCAACAAAAATATCTTAAAGGAATAGTACACCCAAAACATGATTAGCCTTCATTTTCTACTCACCCCCATGCTGAACAACACTCTGGAGTACTTTTTTGATATCTCAAATGCATCTGGAGATCTGGGAGGCTTCTTGCTGCCTGCTGACATTCAAATAATGGAGGTCTGTGGCGCCCGAGACAGAAAGGTCCATAAAAGTCCACAAAAAACGTGTCAATATTCCTCCATACTGCTCGTCCAATGTATTCCAAGTGTCCTGAGTGGGTAGCATCCAGAATTTACTCGAAAGGAAGTCATTTAGAATGTTTTTAGAGCATAAACAGTAGTGTATAGGATTTCCTGAAAGCGCGCACATGCGCGTTCACGACGCTACGGAAGCCGGCAGACCAAACCAGATGAAAGTGCGCATTCAGTGTCTGCTCTGCCAATAATGCAAGCATAGAAGAAGAAATGTGCTGTTTACCTGTGCAAAGAAAGAAACAACGAAAGAAAAATGTCTGAGGACTTCAGTGTTGAGGAAGAGCATGAGTTCTTTGCCGAGCTGAATGCGCTGGTTTGGTCTGCCGGCTTCCGTAGCGTCGTGAACGCGCATGTGCGCGCTTTCAGGAAATCCTATACACTACTGTTTATGCTCTAAAAACATTCTAAATGACTTCGTTTCGAGTAAATTCTGGATGCTACCCACTCAGGACACTTGGAATACATTGGACAAGCAGTATGGAGGAATATTGACACGTTTTTTGTGGACTTTTATGGACCTTTCTGCCTCGGGCGCCATAGACCTCCATTATTTGAATGTCAGCAGACAGCAAGAAGCCTCCCAGATCTCCAGATGCATTTGAGGTATCAAAAAAGTACTCCAGAGTGTTGTTCAGCATGGGGGTGAGTAGAAAATGAAGGCTAATCATGTTTTGGGTGTACTATTCCTTTAAGAACCAGAATCTAGGAGACATCAGGGAAAAACCAAAAACTAAGAACCAGGAAGAGACAAGGAAGGACGACAGAGAACTGACCAGAGGTTTGATGAGATGTAAGACAAGGATCCAGCAAACAGGAACTGAAGAGGGAGGGCTTTTAAAGGGGACAGAGACAGGAAGATGGTTGATGAGGGAATTGAACACAGGTGAGAGCAGAACAGAAAACAGAGCAAGAGAAAGAGGACACAAGAGGGCAGCAGAGGATAACAAATGAAAAGCTGGAAGACAGGAACTAATAAGAAAACATCAACAAAATAATCAAATAACTAGAATAAAGAAACATGGTGAAAAGAAAACTAAACACTAGAAATCAAGGAGCAAAAGAAAAACATAACAGAAACAGAAACCTAACAATTCTGACATTTTGAATTGAAAAAGTTTCCTGGATGGGAAACGAAATTACTTCAATCTTGGAAAATAAGTCCAGTGGATTGTCCAGGCTGATCTTTGTAATTTTTCGTATTTGGTTTCTCATGTTTACCAGCTTAGGACATAAAAACTGATGAGACTAACATGCCCAAACAGCACTGATAGTGAAAAGTTGTAACAATGTACAATTTACTACTAAATAATCAATAATTTCTCTTTGATTTTGTTGAACTAACGCCACCTGTTCCCCTCTGTTTCCTTTACAGCAGGACACTCGTGAATATGAAGTATCAATATGAGACATTTCTAAAGAGACTTGTGAACCAACCACCCAGTGCTGACACCTCATCTTCCCTCCCTGACCCTTTCAACCCAGGAGGAGGCCATGTAAATACAAATAATGATGTCCAGCCCCTCCCTGCTACAAGACACAGTTACTCATCCTGTTCTCTCCTTCTTTGATGTGATAGCTTTTGTAGATGTAAACGGACACTGAAGAGTACGCAAAGTGATATTAATACAAGCCAGTGACACATCAGTGGGAGACCATATGGACAGTAATGAAGGAAGATGTCGGGGACACTATACAGCAGGAAGAATGTTGAAATACGGGAGTCAGAACTTGTTTCTTTGGGAAAATCATAGAAGTTAGATTTTTAACCATTATGATTTAGACTGAAGCCCATTTGTAATTCAGCCACTGTCAGATTGCTTTTTTTTTTTTTTTTCCTGTAGAAACCAATTCATGTATTTTGTAGTTATATTTGCTACTGGAGGAGGTCAACACTCCTGCGCTTCATTCCAGAGTGTTTACAGGCAAGAGATCCACAGGAAATAATATTAATATGGGACTGAAATGTGTATCTTTGAAAAAAACTGCAAAATACCCAATTAGAATGTAAATATTACAAGCTGGTTGAAAGAGATAAAAAGCTGCTGGAGTCTATTACTCTGTAATTATGACACTGTAGGGGGGCTCTGATTTCGCTGCCAAATGTAAATAATATATGATTAATTCTGAAATATGAATTGGGAAGGGAAGATAGTTTGGTGCCGGTCGGGAAGTGGCCTCTAAGTCAAACCAGTTCTGAAGCTTACCTGGTTACCTGCATGTAACTCTTTAGAGTGCTTTCAAAGATGTCGATATGTTCATACACACAGACATGCTTCTTTAAACAGAGGTTCAAATACGCATGGACTTTGGGTTTTGCAAAATGTTCTGTCTAATCTCAGTGGGTAGCTTACCAACCTTATTCCTGATGCTCTACCTGCTGTTACAACGTTTCTTGTAATGGATCTGAAAAAAGAATGCACACCCTCGTTACATTTCCAGATGTTTGCTTCTCAGCAACAGCAGTGACCCGGTAATATTACTTAATCGTATGCTGCGCTATGCAGACATCTGCACGGATAAAGACTCCCTTGTGTTAGCATGCAGAATACTTGGAGTGATTCATTTATTATACAACCCTTATAGATAATTAAACTTTAATGAACGGTTGATTCTTTAATATATCAACCAGCAAACCACTTCCCTTCATGTTTAGGCTCCATCAGCTGAAGGAACAATGATACAATACAAACATTTATATGGATACAGATGGAATTTATAAGGAGCTTTTAGTGTGACACTATTGCCACATTCACCCAAATGATGATAAAATAACGATACACAGGTCAGAAGGTATCTTGGGTTTTAGTGCCTTGCCCAAGGACACATCGACTTTTGACAAAAGGAAGCTAGAATTGAACCTACAGTTTTTGCATTTTACTAAGACTACTGTTTCCATTTAAAGCACTCTGTTTGTTTTCTAAATCCACCACAACTTGTATCCACGCCTGAAGAGAAACTTTTATTTTGTGATACAATTTCCTGCATACTCACACAAGAACACCATATATATATATATATATATATATATATACAAAATACAATGAAATATAAAGAAATCTGCTATAATATTTATTACGATGGCATGAAGACGTATTCACTTTCTAAGATTTCTACTTTATTTAAAAAGAAATATTTTAGAGAAAACATCTTGATTACACTGAAAAAGCAGTTTTCAAATACTGATACCACTATACTACTAATTAAAGTGAGAGAGATGGCTTTCTTAAGTAAGGTGGAGGGGTTCATTTGTCACTTGTTATGGTCCTCTCTGGATGACCATCTGGTTTTCTCTTCCATGTTTGGCTCAGATCCTCGGGGGGAGGGGTGTTCTGCGGCTCCTCACACCCACACTGAAACATTCTTATTAGAAATGCTGTAAATCCTCAACCATGCACTGATATACTCTGACTCATTCAAGGTACATCAAATTGTAGCTTCTACTTCCGTTTCTGAAATTCTATCCCTTCACCTTTCCAGGGGAGTCAGCTGTATTTTTTGGGTAGGAAAGAAGCTCTGGACTGCTTTGCTGAATCCATCCTTTTGCATTATGCTTACAATAAGCGGCGGAAATACTAATCAATCACACAGATAATATTGGGACTACAGCTTTCCAGAAAATAACTACAAAAAATCTTAAGTTACATAAATGTAGCAAGATGATAAACTGTATTTAGTATATAACTTATTATGATGAATGAACTGATACTTGTACCATCCTGCTTCCTGGCCATTACTCATTCCTCACTTATGCACTTATTAGATCGACTGCAGACCTTAGGGTGACCATTTCTATAGCACCACAAAAGAGGACATTATGCGGCATATCAATAAGTTACTAAAGTGTACATAAGAGTCAGGTATACTCTCATTTATACTACAATTTGAGGGGTTTAAAGAGGATGCTCATGTAGCTGAATAGGACTGGTGATGTTTTACGGTATGGTACACCTTGCACAGCTCTGCAGAAGTTATTTTGGCATCTAGGTACCTCAAAACTCCATTTAAAAAAGCTTAACACTGCTCAAAACATTAAAGGGAAGATGTGAACACACAATATAACTATAAATCAAACCTATGTGAAATTAGACTGTCCAATTAGAAAGCAACACTGATTCACAATCAATTTCACATGCTGTTGTGCAAATGGAGTAGACAACAGGTAGAAATCATGGGCAATAAGTCAGAGCTCTTTTTTTTATTTTTCTTGGATCAGTTAACTTATGAAATCTTCAAGACTCACCTTTGACTCCTCATCTCTGCATAACTATAACTTAAATATGTTTCAGTAAATAGGTAAAGAAATTTACTGGTGTTTAAATATTTATGGACCTGACTATTAGGTTTATGGGCCAATTACCCTTTCACATAGGCCCCCTTTGGTTTCTACACCCTTTTATTTTCCCTCTGAATTATTAAAATAGTATTTGAAAACTGCTTTTTTTATTTACTCGTTTGTTACCTTGGTCTGATTTTAAGAATTTTTAACAGCACATAAACTACATTTTGTTAACCATTCAATCTGACCTCTCACATGTCTTCATGTCATTAATGACCCCCCCGCCCGCCCCTACCATCTGTTTCTGGCTATCCAGATGAAGGGGCTATATTGCAACAAGTGAGAGTGAATAAATCTGATGCTATATCGTCACTATCTAAATACATCATGTCCTCCATGTGTGACACTGTGGTGAATTCATCTTCATTGATGCAGACAGAGCACCTGCACAGCAAATAGTGGGACTAAGCAGCCCCAACAGCTAGTAGCCATTTACTAGCTAACTAGTAAATTGATATGAGTAGCTAGTAAATGCATAGCATTGATATTAGCGTAGGTCAAAGGTATGCTAATGTAAATGCTATATTAGCGTAGCGTTTACATATATTTTGTAGCGGTGGGACATATATGTCTTATTTACAGATTGCATGTCCCCCTCGTTTTAGCTGTTGCTTTCATTACATATGGTATTAGATGGAAAGCGAAGTAGTGCTGACGTGTAATTTATTTAAAGCAGCTCATTTAAAAAAAACGAGTTTGATCAGGCTATTTAAATCTAAAACAATATTTCTTTTGATCAGATGGTGGAATGTACGGAGCCCCTCTGATGACATGGTCAAAAAAAATTTTTAATTGTGGCCACAAAGTAGTATTTCGTGACCACGCAATAAGTATAACGTGCGCACGAAATACTCATTCGTGGCCACACAATAAGTTTAACGTGCGCACGAAATACTATTTCGTGGCCACGCAATAAGTAATATTAATATCATTCCTGGACAACTGGGTAAAGAAATCTAGCGCGCCTTCTCTAAGGTCTAAGGCGCGCTCGATTTGCTTACCCAGTCGGTCTCCGCCAGTCACGTGACATTTGTTGCTAAGACGCCATTTTAGGTGGAAAAGGCGTAGTGTAAACAACCGCAGCATAGCTAAACGAAGGACTAAAGGCCCGTTTACATAGCAGCCTGTCCAAGATAAGTCATTACAGTTAACATAAGACTGAAAACAGGGGCGGATTTATTGATATTATTAATAAGTATTTCGTGTGCACGTTAAACTTATTGCGTGGCCATGAAGTAGTATTTCGTGCGCACGTTATACTTATTGCGTGGCCGCGAAATACTACTTCGTGGCAACAATTAAACATTTGTTTTGTCCATGTCATCAGAGGGGCTCCATAGGAATGCTAATAATGGGCAATCTATTTTTTCCACTATTGTAGGGCACCTGTTTTGTTTTTTAGTGACTGGTTTATGATAGGGAGATTTAAATAAAAATTCATTTAATTTGATTTCTGTGGAACACATTTGAACATTTATTAGAACAAATTTCCCATTTCTATTTATTGAGGTGCTGCTAACTAGTACAGGTCATTAATAGTTTCTAAGAACAGGATTTTTTTTTTGGTCTATATTTGGCATTTTATTAATCTTTTTTTACAAGGTAAGGATACTTGTAACAAAACTGTAGCTTTTTTTATTGATTTATTCATTTTTACCCAGTCAGCCTTGTTGTCCTCTTACTTGAAGTGACTTAGGAGACCTGTTAGTGAAGCTGAGATCCTTCCACTTTTACCTGTGAAGATACATTAAAACATCAGACTTGAGGGCGACTGCAGAACATTTTTCTTCATCCTTTTTAATGCAGCTAGATTAGCTGGAGTAAAAAAATATCAGGAGAGGCTGATTGTCCAAGACTGAGATGATAAACAAGCTTTGTTGCAGATGTGAATTGCTTGGCTGTGGTTAATTGATCAATATTAAAATGTAACTTAAACAATCCCAGGAGAAGATGTATTTATTTTGATGTACTGTAAATGTGATGTTTTATGCAGAATAATAAATGTACATTTTCATTATAATTGGACAAACATCCGTTTACATAAATAAGAAATAAAACTTGAATTTAAAAAAAGAACTTTTTTCTTGTTTTTGTTATGTTTTATGGCAGTAGAATATAGTTATCATAAAGAAATATAAAATGACAAGCGATGTATTGGAAAGTTTATTTCTGATCATTTCTATTGTTCATAAAGTATATAATTGCATTATAATCAATAATTTTTGACTACTTGCTGCTGTTAACGTTAAGTTTTCTATCAGAACCATACTATATCTCTAATGGTCGAGACCCCTCAAGCATTCTTCTTAGGGCCATGCTGGCACCAGGAAGGTAAACCCCGCCACGCAACAGCCAAGACGCCGCCGACCCCAAGATGCCACTTTCATCCCATCAACACAACTTCCGATGTGAATTTGTGAGTTCACAAACACACAAGAAGCCTGTTTCTGCTCAAGCTTACATAATTTCAGTCCAACAAGCACATTTCAGTATTGGTGCTTAGGGTGGGACATGTAGCTGTGACAAAAGCAGTTCTAGATAAATCACATCTAGAAATAAACTTGAGTGCTGCACAGGATGAATCTTTCTCCAAGGTGAGCCGTTTCCGTTGCCTCATCCAATCAGGGACTGGATGTTGTGACAGGCGCAGTGAACACAATGTTTTTCAATCAAAATGCAAGATAAAAAAGCGAATGTTGACATAGAATGAAACAAGAAGTTTGTGGGTGGCTTTTAAAAAGCGGTATTAGATAAATAGTCCTAAGAAAGACAGTCCAATGTTATGCAAAATCAACTTTTTTGAGATTTTAGGTCTGTTATATTCAATTGGAATCATGCACAGAGTTGTATTGTTTTATTATTACATCTCTGAATGATCATCATGAGTATTCGTATGAGCAACAGCCCCTCCCTTACCTGTGAAAGCAGCTGGAGAGTATCTAGGTAGGGCGAGGCTCCCTCTAGGAAACACTGACTCTAACTACACTGTTCCCAGAATTTAAGGTAGAGTGTGATGTTTCTGGATCAAAGTTACGAACAAGAGGCCCTTTCAGTAGCTAATCTGCACAGAACAGCAGCTTTTCTTTTTAGGCAAATGTGTCATACTTGTCATCTCCCGCTTCATTTAGGACCAGCTCATAGGGGCAGCAGTCTCAGCAGAGATTTGCAGACCTCCATCTCCCCAGACACCTCCTCCAGCTTTTTTTATTACAATGTTTATCAAGGTTTAACTTCTGGGTTGAATTTTTCCTATTCCTAACTTCCGAAATATGTAATGATATCCTTCCACGTGGACTATAAAAATCCATCTGGAGGACCGGATTTTAGAAGACTCTAGATGTATTGGGCAACCTGGTTTGAAAACAAAGCAACCAGAGCAGCCATCCAGGCCACAGATATTAAAAAATAATAATAAAAAAAACATTAGAGAGCTCAGCAGCAGCAGATAGGTAGGGTTAACCTCATGCTAAATTCATTTCAATCAATTCCATAAATCAATTTGATGAACCTCCATCCCTGCCTTGGCCTCCATTCTGTTAGAGAAATGTTTTCCTACAAATATAAGACAGATATGAGGCAAATTCTCTCATGTTGCGTTTCAGCCTCATTTATTATCTGATGCCAGCAGGACTTCTAATTGCAGTACAGGGTCTTCTGCATGGTAAGCATTCTATTGGCTTTCCTGCTGTGTTTAATTCAATGCTTGAAAAGATTTTAACCAGATGCTTGATTCCTCTCTGAGAATCCAGAATGCTAATTTTAATGAACAAAAATAAATGAACAGATCAAGAAGGACCACCTGCAGCTACCCTGTAAAGCCATGGTACTATTAACAAGAGAAATTAATCAGAGACGACAGAAGGGAATTATTAACCCACCAACGTTTACAGCACTAATGAAATAAATACATCCAGTAGAAAGCCCATGATAACATCTGAAGAATGCAAAATAAATGCAGGATAATGCAAAAGTATTCATTCACCTTTAAAACTATTGCATTCAAGAGTTCCAATCACTTCTATGGCCACACAAATATCAGCAAAACTAAAGCTTTATCAAGTTAAATTGATAGGGACACATTTTGTTAATCCAAAATGAAAAACATCCAATTCAGAATAGTGAAACTTTTAATGACCTTTTTTAATAGAAAAGGTTTTGGGTGTTATTTGGCAGTTTTGTTATATTTTTTTCCTATTTTTTTTTTTCATATTTATTTATTATTTTTTCCCTCAGACTCTACAATTTGACACTATAACAGCAAAAACCTGTGCAATATCTAAAGTTCAATTACTTTTTGAAACCCTGTGCAATAATTTTTTTTATATTTGATACCCAGTGCAAACTATATAAATATAAATACCTATCTACTGTAAATACCCATTTAAAACCATGTGCAACAAAACTGTACAATAATCCTATTAAATCAGAGACTTCAGCTGTATATATATATATATATATATATATATATATATATATATATATATATATATATATATATATATATATATATATATACACTGTATATGTGAATGCACTGTATATACTGTAAATACCCCATGCACCTTTTCCCCATTTCCACACCTTCTTGTTGTTTTTGACCATTGAGCCGATATAACAACTACATTTTCTCCACTGTGAGATCAATAAAGTCAATCAATCAATGACTTTTGA